ATTATGATTATTGTTGTTGTCTATGATTGTTATAATGATCATTATTAATAACATTATGATTATTGTTGTTGTCTGTGATTGTCATTGTGATTGTTGGGATCATAATAAAGTGTGTCCGTTCAGTTTCGCACAAACAGCTGAACTTTTCCTCCGTGACTGCGCGCGTGATTGTGTGTGGTGACCGTGCGCGTCAGCCCCACGCTGTCCCGTGGGGGTGGGGGTGGGGGGGGGCCCTATAGAAGACTCCCGGTGACTCCTCCTGACCGGTCTGGGGTCTGCAGCCACAGACAGGCCGCGGGCTGCCGGGCACTCATGTCCCGCTCACCGCTCCTCACCGGGGGAGAGTCTCCCTCCCCGGGGGAGACCATTGAGAATGGCCCGGAGGAGCAGCAGGAGGAGGAGGAAGAGGAGGAAGATCTGGACGACGAGCTGGACGCTTCTCAGCTGGAGAGGTTCATGAGAGACCGGAGGAGAGCCAAGTCCCTGCCCGCGTACCCGGCCGCGCTCCTGGAGGAGGTCTCCGGGGGCAACGGGAGGAAGCGGGTGAAGTTCGCCGACTCCATGGGTCTGAACCTGGCCAGCGTGAAGCACTTCAGCTCGCTGGAGGAGCCGCAGATCCCCAGTAAAGTCCTGTCCCGGTACCGGAGCTTCCCTCCGCCGCAGCAGCAGCAGGAGCTGCTGAGCGACCTGTGCCAAAGCTTCAGGTCGAGCCTGAGCTCGGACCGACTGGTCGCCTGCTTCCCGGAGCCGCGGGACCCGGAGCGCAGAGTCCAGCGGCTCCGCGTCTGTCTGGAGAAGATCACCATCACTCAGTTCGACGTGCGCGGCCAGATCCGGGTCTTAAACGGCTGCTCCGGCAGAGAGGTCGGGGTCCGGTACACCTTCAACGACTGGCTGTCCTGCGTGGACGCGCAGGCTCTGGCCGTGGCCGCTGATGAGCCGGGCATTGTGGGAGAGCGCTTCTCCTTCACCGTGTACACGCCGCCTTTCATGGACCCCAGCTCTGCCGTGCACTTCGCCCTGTACCTGAGGAGCGAGGACGGGGAGTTCTGGGACAACAACGAGGGGCAGAACTACAGCCTCCGGTACCGCTGCCTGCCCGGGACCACGCCCTTTGTCAGCGCCGCTTTTCACGCTACCTGAGCGGTGTGTGCGCCGTGCGTAAAGACCTCTCCATCCGTGCGTAAAGACCTCTCCATCCGTGCGTAAAGACCTCTCCATCCGTGCGTAAAGACCTCTCCATCCACCCAAAGTGCTGCAAGAAACTCGTTGATGTGCAGCTGCTGTTTCCACATCACATGTTGTGTGTTGTGTTGTTTTGTGAGTCTGTTGTCATCGGTGTCTTTTCTAAACTTCAACTTTCTCCTCAAACCTCCGAACCAAAGCTCTGAAGAGCAACAACACAACTCGGACCATCAGGACACAAACAACAAACTGAGTCTTCGCTGCGTTTGAATTGTGCACGACCACATCCAGGAGAAGTGAGTGTCAACGACCTGGTGGATGTTCTGAGCGTCGGTGGACACTGATTCACTCAACGACACAGTGATCGCTGCTTCGTGGATTCGTTTTTTAAAGTTTTATGATAAAAGATAATTAACGTGAAGTTTGGTCCAGTCGGAGAAAATGCGGAGCTCATCTTCATCCTCCTCGTCATCAGTTTAACCCAGTTTAAGAAGAATCTGAGGTGATTGTGTGTTTGCTCTGAACCTGCAGAAGAATTCGACTCCACTCATTTGACAGGTGATTGTTAATAATGAGTAAAAACCAACTGTCTTTCTTCTCTGGAGCTTTCAACTGCAGTGAGTCTTCATCAGTGGCGCAGGTGTGATGTCATGATTCTCAGGTCAGAGGTCGACTGTATTTTTCATGTTTCTGATGTGATTGAAACGTGTGAGATGATAAAAACCTTGATTAAGACTCAACTGTTTTCAAGACTGACACTCGATGCATCTTAATCAGATTAAATCATTTGATTAATAAAGTCATTGAATACTAATGTAATCATAAAGTATTTATGTGTGAGTCACTCATTAGGAAACGATTCAGTGATGTGATATAAACATTGAGGAGACGAAGGTGAGAACAAACTGTCGCTGCTTGTTTTTGTGAAACTGAAATAAAAGTTCAACGTCTCAAATTCTATGAGTTGTTTTTCAGTTTTTTATTTTTTACGCACCGCTGACGACAAAGCTTCTCCGAGACAACTAAACTCAAATCTGATGACGCTTTATTGTTATTTTATCATCTTATGACATCAAGTCTGTTTCTGAAGAATCCAAACCAGGAGAACTGACAGCAACAACTCCCATGATTCCATGCTGCTTCACTGCGTCATCAAACTGACCCCGAGTGGCAGAAAGTTACGTCCTGTGACTTTAACCCCAACTCCTTCGTCTCCAGTAAAACTGACGTGGTCGTGTTAAGAACATAAAACCCTGACGTCACCAACACACTGATTCTGTTCCAGACTCACATTAAACACATTCAATATTTTCTCTCTGTGCAGAGAGAACGTGTTTATTTGTTTATTCTGTACGTGAGAGCGGCGGACCGTCCGTCCTCCCGTGTCTGTCTGTCGTCTTTACATCGAGGCCAAAGTGCAGAAGTCCGACGCCTCTGAAAACAGTCGTGTTGACAAACCCGAGCTCGTCTGTTTGGTCTGTCAACACGGACCAGGGTCAATATTTCACATAAATCTCAGAGCGCTGGACTTTCTCCTGTAATAATCCGACAATCGTGACCTCACATTCTCTGACAGACACATGAACGCCACATGAAGCGTGTGTTTGATCAGGAGTCGCTGCAGAATGTCACAACTCAGCTAACGGCGCTGTGACACGGGAAGTTCATGGTGAACTCTGCGTTCAAGATGTTTAGCTGTGGCCGCGTCGCTGCTAGGCTACAGCAACATGGACGCCGCGGAGGCTAATAGTTTAAGAAGCTCGCAGAAAAAAAAAGTCTCATTCTTATGAACTCGATTTGTCAGAATCACCGTGAACGAATTAGTTCAAACGTTCACTTGGACTAAAAGAGAAACTGATAAGAGGTCAAAGGTCACAGTGACCTCACGAGTCTGGAAATAAAAAAAATGTACACACACACACCGACAGACACACACACACACACACACACTTTGTGTTTAACCAGTTTCACGAAAAGAGAAAACGTCTGTTTCAGTTTAATCTCCTGAGTTTGGATCAAAGCTTCGTGGGTCGGACTTGAACCAAACTCGTTTGACTCTGAAGAGACTCAGAGAAACATCCTGAGTGTGTGTCCGTCTGATGAAACACTGATTGAGCAACGTGATCGTCCAGTGTGTGTGTGTGTGTGTGTGTGTGTGTGTGTGTGTGTGTGTGTGTGTGTGTGTGTGTGTGTGTGTRAGGGGGCCACAGTGTCGTCTTGGTCAAACAAACGAGTCTATTTATAGCAGCGGCTGGAACCTTGTGGGTCAGTCACCTGCTTCACACACACACACACACACACACACACAGACACACACACAAACACACACACAGACAGACAGACACACACTTCCATTAATCATAACGTCTGACAGGTTTGTCTGATTGGTCGGTTGTGTGGAGTCGTCGAGTGTCTCAGGTTTTGTTTTCACCTCGGTCCTCTCTGGATTATAATATAGGACTCGACAGATTGGAACTTGGAAGGTGGACGATGGGACGCGGACGAGAAGAACGAAGCTCAAAATTCAGTGCGACTCTATCGTGAGACGCTCGTCTCAGAAATGGGAACCGAGCGTAAGGGGGTTCCCTGGTCATAAACGCAGGGGCAGGAAGTGAGCAGGTACAGGTGTGTGGTGAAGTAAAGACAAAGTGATTTACAGTCACGTTCACACATGTATAATAACTATAATTATAATATATATAATAATAACGACTTCAAGAGAAATGATTTGACCTCAAACCTTCACCCAGAGCTGCAGGTTTCCTGTGACCCACGTCCATCGTATTGGTTTAGATCAGCGTCAGCAGCATCTCGGCTTTAACCCGGAATCATGTACAGACGAGAGCTCAGGACAGGAAGTCTGTGATGCTCAGATTTATTCAGGGTTGAGGGTCACAACACAAAGTACGAGCGAGACGCTAAACTTCTGAACACAGGAAAACAAACAGATGAATTATAACATTTAAATACATCTACACGCTTATTTATGTGTAAGTTTGGTTGAGTCGTCAAACCTCCTCAGCTCTTAGCTTCTATACAACAAGAAGATAATCTCTAGTTGGATCGACTAATTGTGCGTAAAAGTACAAAAATAACAATCGAGAAATCAAAGAAAACAACATCACGGCTGCACTGATCAATCATCTGGTTCAATCCTCGTGTTTTCACGTAGTTTCAGATTCAGATTTCTGCTTTGACTCTGGATTAATATCAGTGAAGCTGTTCGACCACATGTTTGTGTCAGTTTGTGTTAATGAGCGGATTCAGAAAACATGGCTCCGTAGTTTTAATGGTCAAACTGGATTTAGTGAATCAACGTTGAGGAAACATTAACGATCTTGTTCGACAGAAACAATGAGGTCACAGATAAAATCTTCATCACTACTGTAAAAATACTGTGATCAGTGCAGCCCTGAAATTTAAACTCCGTGTACTTCAGTCCTACATCTCCCACAATGCATTTCACACCTCCGCCAGTCACGGATGTGTCAAATTAAAGATGGAGGAAGCAGGTTGGTGACGTCCGAGCAGTGATTGGCTCCCGTCTCTGATGTCACGTCCTGTCGTCTGATGTCACAGTCCTCCTCCTCTTCTCCGTCCGTTCACTCCAACACCATCTTCTGGGTCTCGTACATCTTCCCCACAGAGACCTACAGAGACACAGAGATGTCCTGAGGGTGGCGCTAGAGGACTGTGGTGTGAGTTACATGTCCAGAGACTCTCGTCACTGTGTTGAGTCAATATTTGCTCTGTCGTCAAATGAAAGAACCAATTACAGGCAAGTGAGACGCAGCTGCACTGTGTGTTCAGGCCACAGTCCAGAACACACACACACACACACACACACACACACACACACACACACACACAC